GAGCCCAGCGCAGCAGGCAGACTCCGCAGGCTTGAGCCTACCCAGCCCCAAGTAGCTCAGCCAGTCCGACCAGTCAGAGACCGCACTGGCCGGACAGACTGGTGACGAGCATCCTCCCCCTCCCATTCACATGTCTGACTGCTCCCTTTTGCTTTCTGCTCTGCGGTTCCCTGAATGGCTGAGAGAGTGGGTTTGTTGTCAGAAACTCGAAATGACACATAATCTCCCATGTTTGTTCTCGCGGAGGTAGGCGAGCCCGTTCCCAGGGAGAAGAGCTGGGTTCCCGCAGAGCCTCCCAGTCCGGGCCGGCCGCGCGGGGCTGGGCTGCCCTGTGGCGAACACGTGGAGCGGGAGATGTTGGGCTGGCTCAGAGCAGCCCAGCAGTAGCCTCGCTCAGTGCAGACACACCTAATCCTTCTTTTAAGACACACACCAGGGAGAAGACCTTGTCCGCAGTTCTTTTCACATCACCCCATCAGCAGAGGCATTCCTCTTCCCAGTCTGCATTACAGGTCTTAAGGCAGGGGCCGAAACAACAAAAGCTCAGTACGCGGTTTGCTGACACTTTGAAAATAAACCCAGCAGTGCCTGTTTCTACACAGGAGGGTGTAACCGTGCCCTCTGCGTCTTCCAGGGGATGGTTGGAAGGACAACCATGGAGGTACAGAGCTATGTTTTGGGTAGAAAATGCATGCTGCAATGAATTCTGATGGCTGGACGCCAACGGGGAAGCTGTTCTGCTTCAAGAATAGCCTTACAAGAGTCAGCATTACAGTGACAGTTCAGTACTCTCCTGCAAACCTACAGGATGTGTCGCTTTGGCAGAGAAAAAGGCTGCTAATGCACAACACAAGCCATCCTACTACGAATGGAGAAAGGCTGCATACCACAAAAAAAGAAAATGGCAAAACCTAGGGAAGAGGGAAGCTGCAAAACGACTGCTGCATAGTAAGCTGGGAACCTGAGAGCTCTGAGGAGACAAAGCCCCTTCCCTTGAGGGGAAGAAAAACTCAGTTTGCAAGACGTGTAAAGAAGCAAAGACAACCCTTTCTCCAGTGACTGCTGCAGCTCTGCAAAGGTATGCTGGCAGCCAGCCTATTTGAAAACATTGCAGTTTCAAAACAATGTTAGTCCTGACTAGTTTGGAGCTCAAATGTTAAAGGAGATGGGAAGACCGTGCTCATATGCACAACACTGCTAAGCAAATAGAAAAGGTAACCAGGTTTGTACTAAATGACACCAGTTAGCATCGGTAAACTTGAGCTCCTGATGGAACTGTGTAGTATTTCCCCAAACGGACATAGCATCCCTTCACTGCACAAACACTTCCATCTCCAACTCACACAGAGCTGCCAACGCTTGAAAAACAAACATCCAGTGACACACATGTTCTAACCCATTTCTTAGAAAATAGGCTACAAGGCTATTAAAAGAAATGTCAAGAATAATCTAACTGGAAAAAAAACAACAAAACAACCCTCCTTGGGAAAATAAACCATTTAAATACTTCCCCATTGCAAGAAGGAATGAGAGCACAACAAATGACCACCTGGACAAATAAATTCACTTACACAATTTATTCAAGCAAACATTCGGCTTTACCTTAAATAACTGGCAAATATGGGGAGGGGGAGCATTACTGTAAAATGCAGAAGTCAGCTGAATCTCTGTACGTGAGACTCGCTCAGCAGCTCCCTTCTCCTCCTCGAAAAAAAGGTTACAGCTTGTTTGTCAGCTGTGGACATCTTCAGAAAGAGAAAAACCTATGGAACGGGTTCAAAGAAATGCTGGCTAATATGCCCAGACTGGCTGCTTAATGAGCCAGAGTAAAAGAAAAGGTCACATGGTTACAAAAAACCTCCATACAACAAATGCCCTGTAGCTACGGTTAACTTTAATTAACTGCAGTATTACAATTCACTTCAAGCTTATTTTCCACCTATGTCTACTGCCCCTTACCTTTCCTTTGCCTGCTAAAAATCACACTGATGAGTCTCATACGTGGGCATATGCTTCCAAAATTCTGACTGGTAAGAGCTTTTCAAGAATGCTCTGCAATTAAAGAAATCCACCAAACGGGGCTCTTTCTAACTCCAACTACTGATGACTGATTCCAAGATTACAGGAGTGGCTCTGTTTACATAAATCAGGGTATTCACGCTTGTGTGACATAATTAAATGTTGAATAGCCAGTAGTTTTTCTCTTTTCAAGGCAGTTGCAATTCACACAGGAATATTACTTCTCCCCTTGTTAGGTTTAAACTCGAATTTCATCCATATGTACAATTATTTTCCTCTGCCAGTTATGAGCTCACAATGTTAATCCCCCTGTCTCTTGATTTAGAAATAAACTGCTGTGTGGGAACTGCATGCTTAGAAATAATTGAAAATAGGATCAGTACAAACATATCCTCTAAAAAACCATATAGGTTGTACCCAATAATGAACCCAAAATATATAGTTTATATCTAATAGTTAACTCGAAGCATTCTTTTTCTGCATTATTCCCTCAAATCATTACATAAGAACAACATGTCTGAGATTTTTAAGCACCAGTATATCACTTGGCAGAAAAAAAAGAATGTGTGTACACGAAGTCATTGTCCGAAATCACAGATAGAGTGATGCCAAAGACTGAACATCAAAACACACTCCCCCGCCGCACAAAATAGCCAGCGTATGTACCTTCACAAGAGAGCAAAGATCTGTATGCACACCCAGCATACAGTCTCAAGGCTCCTAACATCCTTTCCACCAGGAACAGAAATGAAAAATGTCTCATTAAGAGCAAGCAGATACCAAACGCCATTCACACTTTTTAAAAAGTACCTCTTTATACAGTTCTGAGGTTTTGGGGGGTGGGGATCCTTAATATTCAATAAAACTCAGAGCTCACAACCTACGACACTGTTGCATTTGGAACAGCTCTCTGTTCTGCTGGTCAAATTGCAACAGATTTCTGCAGTGCTGCTGTTTTTGTTTCGGGTTTTCTGTCTTTCCTCCGTTTGCCTCACTGGAAAGGACAAAGTTCACATTAGGTTTGTTTGCATTTTCCAGCTAGTGTGAGGCCTGTGTATTTACTCTGCCTGTTGATCACCTAACAGGTATTACACTGCTCCCCAGTCTCCATAAAATGCCAATGTCACATAAAATAGTTAATTATACAAAGAATCACATGTCATTGTTGCCAAAAGGAAAGCGTTTCACTTCAGTGCTTTAGGAAAGCTTCCTCACCTGAAAACACAACACAGCTCCTGAACTGCTCACCAACTCAGTTATGCAGCCATTGCCAAAATGGGGTAGCTCCCCACCAGCTGCCACACCAACTGCAGAAGCTGTTATTTCCCGCTACCCTTTTTCGTGCTGTGCTCAACTACAGTCCTGCCTTATGAAGAGTCTAGGGATTAATCACGTCATGCTGGGTCTTTTTTGTGAAAGACGGCTTCGTTTCAAGTCTCAAGCCTTGTTAAATTGCGCAGGCAATGGATGCATCCTGTATTGCAAACACTGCTTGCAGCTGGAGAGCTGGGGGGGGAGAAGGGAGGAGGAAATGAGATGCAGAAACAGTAAATAGAAAATGCTTAGTCAGCAACTGTTACTGCAACATTAAAGGTGAAATGTAAATAGGCACAGTGCCAAGACTTAGATAAGTTTGATAACACTATCAACATCACCATCTTACTACATATATGTGAAAATGGGCATACAAGTGCCACAATTACCACAGCGAACTGCACGCTCTTGGTATAACGGAGACTTTTAAAAACGCAGCATGGCTTGCACATGCTGCCTGAGCTCTCAGAAAAATAAAACTTGCTACTCGGGAAGTATTAATATCAATTGAATTTATTACAATTTACTAAGCTCCAAGGCACATTACAGTGTTCTGTTAACTACAGAAATGTATAAAGGACAAACAGAGCATGTTTTTCATGTACAGCATTTTGCTCTACTGTTCAAAAGCATCCGTGCATCAATAAAAGCAAAAACAAAAAACACATGAAGATTAAAAACGTTCAGATCAATAGAAACAAACTGAAACATTTTCCTTACAAACTTGCAACAAAAAACACCCTCCCCCCAGAGCCACCCCACCGTTTTGCAAACAAAAAAACAAAAACGAAAAAAAAAAGTGAAAGACTAACACTCAGGGCTTGTAAAACATAAGCTGTCACCATTTTTGTAGCAATTTTTTAGGCATCAACACTGGCCTTGGCAAAAAAAAAACAAAAATTTTTTTTTGTCTTTTGTGTTTTTCTTCTTCTTTCAGAGAAGTGCATACATTTACAAAAATACACACCAGCAGCAGGTAATCGCTAAGGGCTATTAACTTTGTACCTAGCCAACACACTGCCAAAGAAATGAGAACAGGTATTATGTAGTAACCAAACAATATTATATTCTGTTTAACAAAAACCAGCTCTATCCTTCAAATGAAGAAGAGTACATACCTTTGTTTCAAAATATAGAAACATACGACGAAAATAATGTCTATACATAAGACTAACTTTTGCAGTTTGTTATATTCACAATTCTACATCTTCAGGAGTCTGAAGGGATTGGATTTCCTACTCAAGGGTCTCTCTCCTTTTTCACTTTAACGTCCCCAGCTAAAATGGTCGCGATCTCGCCCTGCATGAACGCCCAAGGCACATTGGAACCGACTAGGGGGCATTTCTCTCCGCTCGGGCAGTAGACTTCGCCAGTCGCCCCTTGGGCCTTGATGCTCTCTCTGGAACAAGGGAAGCAGAACTTGTGGCTGGGCACAGAGGGGCACTGAACAAAGTGGGTGTCCTCCAAGCGTTCGTGGCAAATGGTGCAGCACAGGGGTCTGCTGTTGGCCATGGGGGAGTCCGGAATGTTTTGGGGGTGCACTTGGTCCATGGCGGGGTGGGCGCTGGGGGGAGGAGGGGCCACTTGCAGGTTCATGTCCCCGTTGCGGGAGGCCAGGCGGCGCTGGCCCCGCCCCGAGGCCGGCGACACGGGG